CTCCCTCTCCGCCCGTCTCCAGCTTCCCTCTCCTGCTCCCTCAGCTCTAGGTGAGTACAGCAAGATGAGACAGAGTAACCGACCATCCAGGTGGTGACTGCATGCCCTGTGCTGGTCATAGTGCTCTGAGCACCACATAACTTACAACATTTATCTGAAGCCTCAAAACTACCCCATGAGATAGGAATTACTTCCTCATTTCACAGTGAGGAAACTGAGGCTCTGTATGGTTAGGTGACTTGCACAATCTTACACAGCTGGCTCCGCCTGGGAGTCAAATCCTATACTGTCACCTTCCAGAGCCCAAGGTGGTACTAAGTCACAGGGCTCTCGTGCCTACATGGTGAACTGTTTTGCTTTTGCTCATGTAGAAGTCCTTTCAGAATAAGGGCTCGGATCCAAAATGATTTAGAAAGGCTAACAAGAAAATATTATATTTCTCTTAAGAATAAATGCCTGTGTGATGTAAGAAGAAATATATTTTGATCTCTGCCCTTCCCTCTGCCCCCCATTTCCTGGCACACAGCTCCTAAAACCCTTGGCATCTCCTGAGTGGTAAGAGTGTCTTTTGTATGAGAATGAGATCTAGGTAGCTTCAAGAGGCAGGCTGGTCAAGAAAGACCAAGCCATGATTGTGGGGTTGGAAACTTTAGCCCCATCCCCAGACCTTGGGTGGGGAGGGGAGAGGGGGTGAAGGTTGAGTTGACATTTGACCAGTCCTGCGCCTGCGTAATGAAGTATCCACAGCAACCCAAAGCTTCAGGGTTGGTGAACATGTGGAGGTGCTGGGAGGGTGGTGCGCTGGGGGGGATCCAGAAGCTCCACACCCCTCCCTAGACGTCGCCCTAGGCATCTTCTGCACTTGGGTTGTTCCTAAGGTGCATCCTTCATAACACCTGGGTAGACATAAGTGGTCCCTGAGCTCCGCAAGCCACTCTTGCAAATGACTGAACTCAAAGGAGGGGGTCATTGGAACCTCAACCTGCAGCTAGTTGCACAGGTCACCACCTTGCAAATGGTACCTGAGGTGGGTAGCCCTGTGGGACTGAGCCCCTAGCCTGTGGGCTCTGATGCTAGGTCCAGGTAGACAGTGTCAGAATTGAGTAAACAGAATGCTACAGAAAAGTCGAGGACTAGCTGGTGGGGGAAAGCCCCACACATTTCTGGTGTCGTAAGTGAAGTCATGAGAGAGTGGCGTGAGTTTAGAAGGGAAAACTATCTTCTCTGCACTCAGCCTGTCTACAAAACCAGGTCCACATGCCCACCTGCTTCAGCGTGTCATCTGAGTACCCCAGCCAGGCACAGGATGTCGTGTAGGCTGGATAGCCATGTGCCAGCATGTGCCCTTCTGTGAAAACACGACACACAACAGTTTGTACTTCCCAGGGACCTTTGGCATTGGAACTGCCTGCAGCTAAGCTGCTGCCCTGCGGAGAATCCTGCGGATCTTCTGACCCCTCACATGCTCAACCACCAGCCCCAGCCCCCACCACACTCATAATCATGAACATTCTGAGGATGTCAGACCCAGGTGACCATGATACCCTCTGCATGCCCCCCACCCCGGCCCTCCTGGATCCTACAGGATAACCCCATAGCTAAATTCCTTTAGCAGTGGCTGAAGATAACTCTGCAGTCACAGGTCATACCCAGGAGGCTTTGTCATATGGCCTGAACGTCTGTCTGCAGCCCAGCTACTGGACATAAGGCATTTAGGGCGACAGTGTGCACCCCCAAAGACAGGAGCACTCAAATATTAGCAAAAACAAGGACAATTTCTCACAACCTACCTCTTTCTTTTTTGCCAACTTGACCTTTCTGCAGTATTTCTGGAAAAGATAAAAAGCATCACCAGTAGTTTCAGACAGCAAAGTACACCACACAGTGGACACACAGCAAGCCCCCAGCCGCGTCCCTTAAGCACAACTCACCATAGGCGTCCTCCTCAGTCAGGACATCCGTGATATACCTGAAGTCTATGCAGGATACCAGCGTCCTGGGGTCCTGGCAGCATAACAGGGCAGGAAAAGCCCGGGTCAATTCACAGGCAGATTGTGCTTCTGAGAAGCTGCTGACAAATGGGGCTTGTCCTTTCCTGGAAGGGGCCTTTGGGCCTATGTGAGTTGTCAGATTCTGACACTCCTCAGGGCCGAGTCCTCCAGAGGCTCATCATGGCCCCAACATAGGCCTCAGACCCTCGTGCTCTGACCCCTCACTCCTATCCTCGCACCTGTCCCACCACCATGGCTTCCCAAAGGAGGAGCCGGCACCAGGCAAGCACCTGGAAGGAGGTAAACCAGCAGATGAGGGCCTGCACCTCCCCTACACCTCTCCACACCTCAGGACTGTCTACCCTGAACTACGAGGGCAGAGGGTGGGACTCGAGAAGCTCAGCTGAATGGGGAAGAGGGCTGCTCTCTGCCAGGCCACGCAAGGGCAGCCCTGGGCCCGCTGCTCGCTGCACCACAGTGCACCATGACCTTGAGCAATTTCCTTTCCTGTCAAAGGGGGTCATGTGCTTCACCGACAGGAATACAGTAGGGGACCCAGGAGTGTGTGCCAGCCCACATGGTAGATGTCTCAGCTGGGCCTCGAGCTGAGACCCCCTCCACACCCTGAAGGAACAGTCAGCTGGAAAATAACGGGGAGCTCCATTCCCACTCATGTCTGATGCTGACCAAGAACACTCTACTATAACTGTCAAAAATCTTTTTTTTTTCTTGAGACGGGGTCTTACTCTGTCATTCCTAATAGAGTGCAGTAGTGTCACCACAGCTCACTGTAACCTCAAATTCCTCAGTTTAAGTCATCTTCCTGGCTCAGCTTCCTAGTAGGTGGGTGCCACCATGTCTAGATAATTTTTCTACTGTTTTGTAGAGACAGAGTCTCACGATGCAGCTCAGGCTGTTCTTTAACTCCTGGGCTCAAGTGAAATTCCTGCCTCAGCCTCCCAAAGTACTGAGATTACAGGCATAAGCCACTGTGCTCAGTCTGTCAAAATCTGAAACACTCTTTCAATCTTGACCTTCTGCTTCTCTTAAGAGTACTGGCATTGTGGCTGGGCACCTGCAGCTCAGCAGAGCTGACCCAGCCTGGGCCTGCCAAACAACAATGACAACTACAACCAAAAAATAAATAGCTGGGCGTTGTGGTGGGAGCCTGTAGTCCCAGCTACTTGGGAGACTGAGGCAAGAGAGTTGCTTAAACCCAAGAGTTAGACGTTGCTGTGAACTGTGATGCCATGGCACTCTACCAAGGGCGACATAGTGAGAGACTGTTTAAAAAAAAAAAAAAGAGAGTACTGGCATTGAAAGAGGGTACACAATCCTCAAAATAGGAAGTCCACAGGTAGGATCTCTGGCACCTTTCTGGTGGCCGTCAGATCATTCCCTTTGGGAAGCCACCTCCTGCATCAGCTGCATGTGAACAGCTGATCTTGAGCATGGCTGGTGGCTGTCCAATCCTTCTCCTTCAGATGGCCCCATGTCACAGTCATGTCAGAGAGACAATATGACAGTCTCCTGCCTTCACTATCCTCCAGAGGAGGAGCGAGGTCTACTGGTCCAATGGTCTTCAAAGCCATGGTGTTCTTTGCTTTTGCTTAATTTTGCTGTCCGATAATAACAAAGGCCTTCATTTGTGGACCACCAGAGTTTCAGTGACTATCCAAGGTGTCATGCTGAGGCAGCTGAAGCACAGAGTGTGTCAGTCAGAGGCTCAAGGTCACTCAGCTAGTCAGTCATGAAGCCAGGATTCAAAGCCAGCTCTGCCTGGGTCTGAAGCTCACTCCCCTTTCAACAGCTCTGAGTTTTTTCCTCCTCAGCAGCCAGATCGCTTATCCTTGCCATTAATGAGTCAAGGAGAAAGAAAGCAACCAAGTGTGTATGTTTGCAACTCGGTGTTAAACCCTTTCCCTGCTGAAACTGTCTGACAGAGACTGTAAAAGTTTATATATATTTTATATATATATATATATATAAAATATTTTTTTATTTTTAGAAACAGAGTCTCACTTTGTCGCCCTCGGTAGAGTGCCGTAGCATCATAGCTCACAGCAACCTCCAGGTCTTGAGTTTAGGCAATTCTCTTGCCTCAGCCTCCCGAGTAGCTGGGACCACAGGCAATTGCCACAACACCCAGCTACTTTTTTGTTGCAGTTTGGCTGGGGTCTGGTTCAAACCCGCCACCCTCAGTATATGGGGCCGTTGCCCTACTCACTGAGCCACAGGGGCCACCTGACCAGATGATATCTTAATGCTAATGTTTTACTTTTCATAGTTTATGAAGCACTTTTCTCAGCTGGCTTTAATTCTATAAGGTTCTAATATTAGAAACGTCATAATGTATTTTACTGGGCTTTGCTTGTTTTTGGCTTTATCACCACCACAGTGTCTAACAGACAGTCCTGAATATACGTACTGATTATCAAAAGGCAAGCAATGCATGAGACCATTTCATTTACAGAAACATTTGTAATATTAAAGATTCTACTTACCATGTCTACAAGCAACTTCCAGAGAGGCTTGAAGGAAAAAGGAAAAAGATTTGTAGAACATATGTGTAAAGAACCCATTTTTCTCCTAACAGTAAATGAGCCGGCAACAAACTCTGGCTGTCAGATATCTGGCCTGCCCACCATCTCCAAGGCTGCCTGTGCCTTCCTCTGTCCTCCTCTTTTTCCTACGCCTACAATTTCCTACCTACTGCCAGTATTTCTCCAGAAAGAAACAACATTAAAGCAATTCTCTGTATTTCTTTCTGGGGGCCTTTCTAGATGGCTGCTTAGAGAGAAAGTCAGCCGTGCTGCTCCCCAGAGCCACGGCTGTTCGTGAGATGAGTCACCTTTCCCTCCTGCTTGGCCCACAGGTCCCACACAGCGTTGAGCACGGCTGCCGTGGCCAGATGCACCACGCCTTTCTCCGGGCCAATCTATGGAGAAGCAAAGCACAACAGCACTTCTTAGAAATGGAAAAGACAGTGAGGTCTTCTAGGTAGGGCAAGGCAGGTCAAGAATTCAAAGACAGAAATAAACACTCACTTAAGGTTAAGGGTTTTAAAAACCAGTCTCTAAAAAAAAAAAAACAAAAAAAAAACAAAAAACAGTTTCTAACCTACAGAAGAGTAGGAAAAATTCCTGTCTTTTTCTCTCTGTACTTGTTGTACATAAATTACATAAATACACATATATACTTCTTTTTCATAACTGTTTGAAAGTAAAATTGCAATAACATGCTCTTTTAACTCCAAATACTTCAATGTATAATTTCTAAAGTGAGGACATCCTCTTACACACCCTTACATGGAAGGCATTCAAGGACCATAACCAATACAGTTGACGAATACTGATACGCAAAAGACAGTCAAAAAGCACATGGTGCCAATTTCCCCAGTCATGTACTTTATTTTACCCTGATCTGTGTCTCATCCAGGATCACATGCTGCATTCCGTTCTCATGCCTCTTTTGTCTTTTTGTCTAGAATTTTTCTTCTTCTTTTTCAAATGTTATTGACATTTGTAAAGAGTATAGGCCAGTTGACTCGGACGTCCTTCATCCACATTGAAGGGTGACATAGCTCCTTCAATATGGGTTCGTCTGGGACTTCCTTCACGATTAGATTTGGATTATACATTTTTTGGTATAAACACTACATAAGTGATGATGTTATTTTGTTTCACTGTCAGGGTTTTTAACTTTTACCACTTGGGTAAGTTAGCGTTCATTTGCTTTCTCCCCTGTGAGGTTACCATTTCCTTTTATAAGATGTTACTATTGCCCCCAAATTTTAGGATCCACTGATGACTCCTGCCTCAATTAATTATAGCTGTGATGGCCACAATATGCTGATTTTCTAATGTCCCATTTCTCTTGTATTTATTAGCTTGTATTCTACTGTAATGATGAGCTCCACCTTGCTGTTTGAGTCTCTGAATGTACTTGGGAATTCTTATTTTGTTAAACAGGCTATAAGCCCTCATGTTTGGTCCGATGCTTCAATTGCCCTGGGTTCAGCTAGTAGGAACCTCTTCAACGTAACATCTTTCAAGGCGAGTTTAACTGGTTTTGCAGAAAGTACAAAATGAAATCCAAGGCCATATGGAAAGTACATTCTCCTGTGCCCTCCTCTGCGTATGGATGGGAGGCCAAGCAGAGTTAGGAAAAGATAAACCTGGTGTCACAAGACAAAGGCAAAGTCCAGGCTATTAGATTTAACTTACTGTGCTAGAATCCTTCCTCTAGAACCTCACTTTTTCTTGCCTTGAACTTATGGTTCAAATGCCAGCCTACACTCACAGCAGGTGCTGTGGTCTTCCGCTTTTTAACTTTGCTTTTTTCTTATGTTTCTCTCCCTGATAACCTCCCTCTATGTCTCTCGCACTACTCATACAGTCTCTCACAAAAAGCTTGCCCATTCAGTATCATCCACTAGACCACTTTGTCCAATTTGGGGAGTGGGAGAAGAGGTCCTTACGAGCACAGAGTTAGCTCTCAGAATCCAAATTCATCAGATCCAAGTCTCATAGGCAGAAGCTGATCACCTTTAAACACTGATGATCTAAACGGCTCAAGCTCTCATTCATCTGCACAAAACGTTTTACCTCAAAATTGTAAACCCATCTCTATTTTCACATTTGTTGCTATTGGTGGGTGCCTTAGATTAGTGGTTCTCAACCTTTCTAATGCCTTGATGTATTTTCATTGTTACAAAGGGGTTGCGACCCACAGGTTGAGAACTGCTGCCTTAAACCTTAGTAATGTTACATATAAATGCATTTTGTAAAATAGGACCCTTACCCATCTGAGCTGCCCATCACTCGTGAGCTGCCTATAGAAGCCTCTGAAGTCACCAACAATGTCCTTGAGGTCCTTGTTAAGCACGTGGTGGGCAAGGGCATTCACAGCACAGACAACTGTTAAAAAAGGATTCATTTATTGTTTATGTTTTCTTAGGAAGTCCATAAATTAGAGATGAAAACACCACAAACTAATGTGAATATTTTATGAAAAAAATTAAATCCAAAAGGTATATGCTTTTAAAAATTTCTCCAGATATGTTTTCTGTGGATGTCATAACATGTATGACCCAAGTAGAATAGCTGTTAATCCATATATATATATATATATACATATATGTATATATACTGAGCTAAAATTCCTGAGTAGAGGAAACACATTTTGATTGGTTGTCACTGGTAACCATCACAAAACACTGATCTGAAAGTTTAAATAATGTTCCCAGTTTATCTTCCCACTTTGCAAAGCGTTTGGACAATCAGATCAAAAGCCAAATGATGCTACTTCATCATCCCTAAGGAATAAGACATCTCTGACCTTTTTCTTTTCTTTCTTTAAGAGATAGAGTCTTGCTTTGTCACCCAGATTGGATGACATACTAACCCTCAATTCCTCGCCTCAAGTGATCTGCTAGCTTCAGCCTCTCAAAGCCCTGGGATTACGCAGGCATGAGCCACCA